CAATACCAAAATCAGGTAGGTTAGCACCACCAACAAGATTGCATACTTCAATGAAACATCGGAATCTTGTGTCTTGAAAATACTCACTTTTATTTTCTTCACTTCTTCACAGGAAATGCATTATCGACAAGAATACAAAGATAGGGAAAGATGTACAGGTTATGAATAAAGATGTAAGCATGCCAATCCTTTTCATGTCTTTGTTCTACATTCCTACCATCATCCAAAGCAAGCACAAGCATTATATTATCAGCATTGAATGTCTAAGCACACAACAATCTGCTTTCCTCTGCAGGATGTTCAAGAGGCAGATAGGCCTGAGCAAGGATTCTATATCCGGTCTGGAATCACTGTCATTCTGGAAAAGGCAACAATAGAAGATGGCACGATTATATAAACCAATCTTCAAATGTCACCACGGGTACAGAAACGGAAACCTGAGGAGGCTACATGAGGAAGCAGTAACTAGCCATGGAGAAGCTCTGAGATTGCTTATGCAGAACTTTGTCCCGGAAGAACCAGCTGCATCACAATCTCTTCTTGTATATTAGAAGTTCCTTCTGTTCTGCACATGTAGAAGTAGAGCCAGTATCAATAGAAGCTAGAAGTTTAAGTTCCCAAATAAACAGCGAGCCTATCTTTTGACTGCTCCCTTTAAGTTAAAAGATTAGCGCGTCTACAGGATTAGCTTGCCAATGCTTGTACTTCAAACTCTTTTAAAGTCCATGAATAATATAGTCTCTTTTGTAAAATATGGTGTTTCTCTAAACAATGACTCTCCAACTTACTGAGTTGTGGTTTTTTTTTTCGCCATCGACATAGATTCCTACTTATTGAGTTCAATCTCAAGTTTCAACCTAAAACAAGTTCTTTAAAGAAAGAAAGGAAAAAAAAAAAAGCGTAAAACAAGGGATTCTTGAATGCTGCAGGTAGCATCAAATGAATAAGGAAAAAGGTGTTTTCTAAATTTGAATTGTATCAATCTACATTATATATTATATATTAAGTATTTAGATGGTATAGGACTACACTACATAAATCATACGATAAAAGAGAAAAAAGTGCCCCTGAATGTACACTGAACTCAAAAGAGTAAATACTAACTGAAGAAAAGAGTCAAAGGGTTCGTGTTCAAGAGGACTTCAGAGAAGGATTTTCTAGAAGACATGAATGGGTATTGGATGCCAGAATCCAGAAAAGACAAAAACTGAGTTACACGTGGCACATCAGGGTGATCATCATTTCAACACGTGGTAGTTGGTTTTCTGACACGTGTCCAAATGCATGACACCAGAAAACAGAGGGGAGTAAGTTGACTGATATAGGTACATCATGCATGACGAATTGAAGGAAGAAACCAACAATGGAAGAAACGAAGAGAATGGATTTGAGGCAAGTAGATGACTTAGTGAATAAACCACAAGGCAGCAATGGCACGGTGGAGAAGGAGAACAACCCAGCGGACGCTGCTACTGCTCTTCAACTATTTTATTTTTTTAAAATCCCAATCAGATCGATCCCCGGCACCCAAAACTCACCTGGTATAAAGGGTATAAAGATTCAATCTTTCCTTTATCTAAAGGAATCCCTACTCGTTTTCTTTGAAACCCATATCAGATTCCAGTTACCTTTTTCGTTTTCGTTTTCAAGTTCTGGAATTGAAGGCTGGGGACATTGTAAGGATGCAATTCAAATGTTGTGCGTGGAGAATGTCGCCGGTGCTCCGATTGCGGATGTTTTAGGCCCTGAAGCCACAATGGGAAGATCCTCTGATCGGTATATTGGCTCTATAGATTTTACTAGCATGCTTCTCTGGTCTCTTGAGGTGTGATTTCATTTAATTTCGGCACAATTTTTTCCACCAAACTTGAGATGTTTGTTTTCCATTAATCCCAATGGTGTTTGTACCTTCTCAGAATTGGGAAAAAGCCGGTTCTCCAAAAGAAGGGCGCGACGGTTCCGGTGAGGAAACCAGCATAAGCAGCCTCCTACCCATGCCTGAACAGAATTGTGAAGAAGCCGGTTCTCCGACAGAAGGGCGCGACGGTTCCGGCGAGGAAACCGGCAGAAACAGCCTCCTATCCATGCTTGAACAGAATCCTCAAATTGGTCAGACAAACGTTTTGGAACTCAGTAACACTAATGCTCGTTAAATGTATGTTGAAATGCCACTGTGAATTTTTTTCTGATTTCTACTAGGTTTTGTTCTCTGGATGTCACAGTTAGGGGAATTGGCGAAATCCTTCCTCTTGGAACCATTCTTACCTGTTCACCTAGACGATACCCTTTTTCTTGTTTTGCTAATGCTAGCAAAACATCGGCTGCATGTTGTGCCTGTCATGGAGAGACCTGATTATCACATCATTGGTTTTGCTACACAGGTAGATATATATTCTCATGGCTGCTGGTTCTTTCTTCGTCGAGAATTTTGAGTAATTCTACAATCAAGGTCTGTTAAATAATGATATTCTTATGCCAAACCATGTGTTTCATGGTTTGTGAAGAATGCAGTGATCCAATCGCATCTCCAGTGTGATGGATTACAATGGTTTAACAACATTGCATCCAGGGCCTTGTCAGAATTCAGATAAGGCAAACATCATGGAGAGTGTATGTAGTGTTTCCAATGTTGATGTTGTTTTTCTGTTTGATATTAGGTTTGAAAATGAGAAGCATGTCGATCGTGTATTTGGAGACGAAAGCCTAGCAGAAGCTCTTTCAAATATGTCGAAGAGCCAAATAGGTGCAATTACCGTCATAGACAGAGCAACTCAAAGGTTTATCGGTTGCTTCAGGAGAAATGATGTGCACCTTCTCATGGAGGACGATCTCTTTCAGAACAGAAAGTAAACTCTTATTATTCATGTTTTCATCTTTTTCTCGAGTTTTATCTTGGACATTCTGTTGACATCTTGAAACAATTGCAGGAATATAACCATGGAAAAGTTCATTCAAATGGAGACTGTATACTTAGATTTTTACCCTACCACTGAAGGAGAAGACATAGGGGTTCTCTGCCTGAGAAACTGTCACGGTACAAGAATGGACTCGCCAGTGACCAACAAGAGAAGTGATACGCTCAGGCAAGCAATGAAAAATATGGTTAGTAGTAAAAGCAAATACTGTTTTCTGATAGATAATTCCTGTCATGTACTAGGTATTCTAACATTGAGAGACATAATCATTCAGTTTGCTCCACCCTGCATTGACTCAAATATTCATGGAGTTGGTTTCTTTGAATCAGCTCTTGAGGAGATAGGGTGTCAAGTCAAAAATGGGAATGTAGTTAGTTATCATTAATGGACAGTTTTCTGCCTGATTCATGAGAATCTGTATGGTAATTTCATTTTTGGGACCAAGCAGTTGGGTTTGTAAAAATGAAAAATCCTTTCTAACCTGTCAAGGAAAAGCAATGACATTGATGCCACATTTAATCAAGGTGGAATTTCAAGAATGAAACGTTTCCTCAGTTTCTTCTCCCCTCTTAATCCTTAATCCCCAAAGAAAAATGGATAAACTAGGATGAAAATGAACCCAAATGTGACCACCGGCAAGGCTTCATTTCTAGCACTCAAATGAGATTGAAGAAAAGAATATAACAATCTGTGTTGTTTGTGACATGCCAACCATGATCGATAAGAAAACAAGAGGTACGAATTGGCAGAACCAGGATACGGTGGCTCCTTTCTATGATTCATCTAGCCAACAGCAATGTGTAAATCAATGCCAAGAAAGGTTTCAACTCCAATGCATGCAACTTTAATCCTAGGGAAGATCAAACTTTGTTGATGCAATTATCCAGAGGTATGCCAATATCTATCCCTTTAAAATTATGATGTTTCCCTGTGCACACGACATGAGAGGAATTTTAGAAACAGAAAAAACAGCAATCATTTAATGAGGCCAATGTACATGCAGGCAGAAATTAGATCCTACCTAAAAAGCATTCCAATGAAAAACCCAAGGAGAGTGATAGATGGGCAGAGGCCCAACTGCTGCGGAGCATTTCTTCTCCTTAACAAGCATCCCAGTGGCAGTTTAACCTTTTGTGTAAAATTTCTCACGTGTTCCAAACTATCAAAGCACCTCTACGCCTGAATTCACATGGATGAAAACTGCTAATGGCCTTTCCCATCAGAGCCATAGCTGCAATGCTTGGGAATTGCTTCTTCTGAAATTCATCCACAGCTGCCTTTGAACCCTGTGGTTCACATGATTCTATGACCTCAGATTTCATTTTTGGAGATGCAGCTTTACTTTTAGCCCACCTCTGAATCCAAGAATGTGAAAGAGTTATATGTTGACTCTTTACCCCTGAGTCGGTAGACGAGGAGTCACCATTCTTTAACAACACAACAGCCTGATCTAAGTCTATCTGTGGTTTACCATGGCATCTACCTATGGTAGGATCTGAACTAGTTATGCTGTGCTTCAAGATCTTGCTGAAGATTTCGTTGACTTTTTCTTGGGATGAAGCTTCTCCAATTTTGGAGCTCTTACTACCATGAGCTAATGAATCTGAACTGCTCAACCTGAGACGTTTAACCCATCTGCTGCCTGGCTCAGCTCCCAGAGGACCATCTGGGCAAGCAATGGAAATGGCATTTGTTGGTCGCTCAGCATGTGAAATCCGGTGCTCTGCATCCAAACTCAAGGTTCTAGATGGACTAGTCTTCCTGTCATCTGCTAAGCTTGCCATTACTTGAACAGAAAAAGGCTCCTGGTTTATATCAGGTAATTCAGTGGTTGTATTTTCCATTCTCTCAGCAATTTCTTCTCTAGCAGAAGCAATTGTAGTTTGTGATGTTGATGACTTTTTTGCCACCTTGGTTTTCTGCAAAATTAACAAGTAACCACCACTAAGTCTATGGCTCATTCGTTTAGAGTTTAAAAAAAAAAGGTCCACTCGACTCAGTTAGCAACATGGACTCTTAATATGACATAGAATGAATGAGCAGATGGCAAACTAAGCCGTTTATGACAAAATGCAGAACTAATAAATTCAAATGTATCCACTCAAATAGCTTGAATGATTATTACTGGTAACATGTTATGTAACCGTCTTTCATTCTTCAAGAAATCCAGAAAATAGAACAAATTATTCAACCTTTTAGTTGTTTAACCAAGAATGTTCTTATGCATATCTACTACGAAGACACCTTAGTATACAATAAAATCATCAATATTTACCTGATTTGGTGGACGCAAGGGGACACCTGCAACCATTAGAACAGAAACAACTTATTAAATGACGAACGTAATAAAGATCTAGTAGATGAATTACTTGAGGTGATAGGTATTATTGTCTACAATAACTTTCTATCTGTATGAAATGAGATAGCTACATGGAATACTATAAAAACTTCATTAACAGTCATGATTGTAAGAGGTAGCAGGAATATGTACCAGAAAGATGGCTTTTTTGGAAAAAATCTAATTCCATAGCATCAGTCTCTGCTGATGATTCATTCTTTAGACAAACAGAAGAAGTCTTGACATTGCCAACGTTTTCTCTTCCTTCACTATCTGTGGAGCTCCATAGAGGTTGAAGGTTCACTTCTTGCTGACCCTGGAAACTGGAACTGGGAGATAGACTTAGAAAATCACAATACATTTTCTCCTTCAATTGGGAAGAGAGTTTGGAGTCTCTGAAAACCTGACCTAAAGATGACAAGTTAACGTCAGTCTTCTTTGTAATAAGAAATTTGCGTGTTGTCTGAGAAAATTTCGGCAAACCTCTGGGTAATTCTTCCATAGAATCTATAGTGGTACTCATTCTCATGGTCTCAACATCACGAACAGAACACGGAATTCTTGGCATTGAGTAGTACTCATCATATCCCTTCACTGATTCCATCACCTCCGGATGACTGCCTCTGCTTGGAAGCAATCTAATACTGCAATCATCTTCTCCCTTCTGATTCTGTTTGTTAAGAAAAGCAGGCAGTTGGCTATGGCTTGTTGAGGTCTCATGAAGCCATGGAGATGAATCATTCAGCCTTGATAATGAAGTCCCAAATTTCCTCAACTCCATCATAGTATCAGTTTTCTTCTCATGGATCCAAAAAGTAGAATAGCTGCAAAACTTAGCATCGGTAACATGCTCTTTGGATGCTGCAAAAGGGCTTGATTGATCATTTTTTTGTTGCTGACACACGAAGGATTGCATTTGAGCCTCTCCATTTTCAAATTTGTTTGGTGCAATTTTGGAACTTGACCCAACATCAAGCTGAAATGCTGAAACAGCTAAGTTGTCCTTTTCAAGGAAATTATGAGATTTAACCAGCTGTTCAGGATCCCATAAGATTCCTCTAGGTCGAAGGGGATTATTACATGCCATTTCAGGATGAGGCCACTTACTTCTCCCTGGAGTAACAGTATCCTGGCCACTTTTGGGACATAACTGATGGTTCACCATCTCACTAGGAGATGAAATACGCCGGTCATTGTTTATTGCCACGGCACACTCCTGAATCGGAGAAGCATTGAACACTGAAAAGGGTTGGCTGTATAAGCTTCCTTTCTCCGACTTCATTGCACTCATTTTCAGAGTATTGTCCATGATGTTAACAGTTCCAGCTTCAGAAACTTCTCTAAATCCCTGGGTAAATTTGGTAATATGAGTTGCCTTTTCAGGCCCACAACGTAAAACATGCTGCTTAATATTAGCACCATCGTCTTTGAACCCACTACAAAGTGATAAATCATTGTGTGCCCTGATAGATGGCTTACAACTTGTGTGCTTCCAGTGACTGATCCAAGAAATTTGGTAATTATGCATGGATTTTATAGCTGTTCTGTCAGTATCATTATCTGATTGCACAACGTGATCAGACATGATATGAATGAACTATGCTTCAGTCTAAATTATTCCTCTTTCTAGGAGTCATCAAAATCTACCTGAAAATGCAAATTGGCACACTATGAAAGTCTAAACTTCAGCAAGTAAATAAATTTGCTAAAAAAAGCTATCTATTTGATGGCAAGCACTTCATTAATTAGTTCAAAGAAACCCATAATTAATTCAAATTATAGATAAAATCTTGAGCCTAAAAGGGCAATGTGGAAAATCGGTAAGAAGAAGGGAATGCAAGAAAAACTCATCATTAATGGTTTCAACCCCACATAATCCCATCACAAAGTATCCCTTTTGGTGAACTAGAATATTCAGTATCTAAAATATCACTCAAAAGTTTTGTTTGATCTAAGAATAGTTATTTTTGAAGAGAAAATTTTGAATCAACAATACCCCATGTTTTTAATAGATACTCCAGTGGTCCACTAAGGAAGAGATAATCATCACTTTAAAGTTTGAACTTCTATCACACTAGAATCTCCAGAAATAGGTAAATTAGAAACCTTAAACTCGAAATCACCTAGATTTTACCATTTTCAACATTAAAAACCATAAACAGAAAAAAGATAAACACAGAAGCAGTCAACCAAAATGAACACTTAAAAATCTTTCCGTCACTACACACAAATTACATTAGAGTTCGTATGACCCCTAAAATTACTAACAGAGAAGATCTGAAACGAAACAAAGAAGCAATAGGAAACTGGAAACTTGCTCGGAGTTTGGATCAAACAACCTTTTCGGAAAAATGAAGCAACAGAACACCAAACTGAGCTAGAACAAGCAGGTAGTAGACAGATTAAATATGGCGAAAAAGAATCTGTAAAACTAAATTGAAAAGAATAACGAAAAGTGGAATTGCTTTAGACTGTACTCACCTGGTGTCAAGGCAGGAAGAACAGAGAGAAGAAGAGAGATGGCTGATTGCAAACAGGAAGCACGTGAAGAGGCGGCACGAAACTCAGAAGCTCAGATCCGGGAAGATGTTGAGATGAAGAACATGAAGGGATGAAGAAGACGAGGTTTGAAATGAGAATTTGGTGGAAGAAAATGGAGGAATATGGCTTTATGCATTTGTAGGATGGTAAGGGAGAAGAAGAAATGGAATGAAGTACTTGCAGCGTGGCAGCCGAGCCATATCTATCGCATTTGACAAGCCGAGCTGAATGGACCCACTTTATTTGTTTTTTTAGGCCATGGCTGAATGTACCTACTCCA